CAATTATTTTTTAAAAATATTTAGTTTTTCAAACCAAGAAAATACAAGACAAAATGCTATGTGGGCTTTCATGACGGGCTAGTTAAAGGGCCTTAAACCCATTTTCTACGAGCTAAACATAAAAAGCCCACTACTTCTAAACACTTGTAATTGTTGGACACTGTGTCTGCAATTGGGATTAATGGATAAGACTAGACCCAATTTTTAAAAAGAGGAGAGAGAAAGAGAGGACTATTTTATTTTTAAATAGACAAAAGAGACGTTGATGTGACAACACACATCATCGTCATCGTCGTCATCACTATTTTTTTACCCTAAAACCCCACCCACCCCAGAACATGACCTAACCTCAACTGGCGGAGCGCACGGACCCCGGTTTTCACGCTCTGCTCTGCTTAACGTGCTCTATTGAATAAGTGCTTTTATTACACTTACACACACACCTCTCTCAAATCCAACACTAGATCTTCTTGCTGTACCAATTGACTTGATCAAGAATGATGTCTATCTTGGTCACACTATTCAAGTCTGGTTGCAACTGATCCCATTACCACTTTTTTCACTTAAACAAAAACTACTAATTGCTCATCTGAATTCTGAATCATATCAACTTGTATTGTTTGACTTGCCTTTCTCATTAGTCATTATCAATAGAAGTCTACAACCAAGCTAGCTAAAGGTTTAGTTGAAACTAGAAATTGAGTTTATAGCTTGAAGTTTCGTTTTTGTTACCAGGGCAAAAGTGAAAAAGTATGGTGAGACCAGCAGGTAAGAATTAAGATGGGAAGTTGAAGAATGAACATGCATTGCTCTAGAATTTTCCCCAACTAATTGGATTTATTTAATGTTGTTAGTTACGTCATACGTGTCATGCTATGAGAAAATACCCTGGATCTTGATTGGCTGATGGAAGCATGAGAAAGAAACTAGTTATAGTGAAAACAGTAGTACGTACTGTTAATCATATCAAAAGACACGACAAATTGAAGAGATATCGTTTGCCAAGTTAACGCATGTGATCATGGTCAGGGGAATCTTACAAGCCGCTTCCCAAGATTTCTCTTTATTGCAAGAGGCAGACAGACAACCGACCACCCACCACTCCTCTTTACCCCATCTTCTCTCTTCTTTCAACACAAAGTCTTCTTCATTAACTCTCGTCTTTATAAATCTTACTCTTAACCCTTCCATCTTCTTCACTAAACCACTCTCATAGTTTCAGGGTTCTAGCTTAAGTAGTTAGGAAATTTTTCTACTTTTTTTTATTGAACTCTTTCATTGATTGGTTTAGGGTTTGGATGGAGTGAGGTAAGCAAAATACTAAATTTAGAGTGGATTAATTATTATTATTATTAGGGTTTGTGAGTGGAGCTCCTTGAAGTCCAAAAGAGGTTCTTAACTGGTTTGATTGAGCTGCTTGAATATGGATTTCATACTACTATCTCTTTGCTGGTTGACTTGAGATAGTCTTGTGATGTGCATATTTTAGGAGCTTGAGTTATCCATGTTGGATCCTTATTTGGATTGAAGGGAGCTCTACACCTTACTCTTAATTACATCTCCTTGTGTATGTTTTGATATAATCAAAATTTTAGGCTTTTCTCTTCTTTATGTATATATTTTGTTAAATACCTTCTCTATTTCCATACTTGTAACTTGTTTAGTTTCTCAACATACTACTGCAAGTTATTTT